AACACAACCATAGCATTTTACCAGCTGAAACTTTTTAACACTTAGATATGAAATCAAAAAACATCCAGCAGCTCAGTGGGAATGCTGAGGCATAAGAGAAACTCATAGGGGTTTCAAGCTGCAATTTAGCTAAAACATGACTTAACACGCAGCTGAATTCCCATCTGAAAATACCTGTGGTGCTGGCAAAAGTGCTACTGTAGACCCATGGGTAATAATACGTCACAGTAAAAAGCCAAGCAAGTCTAGGCTTTTTTTTTGGTGGGAACAAGCAGGTAGTTTTGCTTGTAACCCTACAGGATCACAAGGGTTCAGTGAAATTATATTTCTGAAATTAAAGGTTTATTTAAATATGTAGGTGACTCTCCATTTACTGTTACAAGGTCCATAATCGCTTTCAAATGGAAGCACTTTATTTGGCTGAATTCTGTCTCCAGAAATGAATGGGCAACACCAGAACCTTTTACATTGGCAATGAAATCACAACACTGAGATGCCACCAAAATCTAGAGTTCAGTGCTCAGACACACATACACACACAAGTACAAATAAAAAAAGTGCTCAACATCATCATGTTAAAATAGAATTTGGCTTCTTTTAGGTCTTTTGACACTTCAAGCAGGGAGGAAAAAAAAACACTGATATGCATTAGACCAAAAGAACTTTTGAAAAATACTCAGCATTAAACACAACTTTTCAGTATCAGTAAATATGTTTTTTTCTTCTCTATTTACAGATGTTAAGAAAGGGCATTAGAGAGACTTTGTCTGGGGACAAGTGTGGGTGAGATTTTGTTTCATAGCATGTACAATCACATTTGCAGTGTGATCTTAGTAAGTTCAAGCAGAGTTTTTATAAACCAGTCACACATTTAATCTATTTCCGTTTTATTCTGAAAGTAAATTCTACCACAATTACCTACTTCTTACCCTGCATAAACACAATAGAAACAAGCTGTGTAGGATATGGTATCCAACTGGTGCTAGTTTGTTTTCTTGTCAAATCTGGGCTTCTGAAAATGGGCATCAAGTTTATAAAAACTCCACAGAGAGTCTTCCGGTAACACTTCCAAAGAAAAATCAGTTGGCATGGCCAAAGCTAATGCTCCTTTTAAAGCGCTATATAGCAACACTGATATTGCGACGGTTCAAATGTTCCACAGAGGCTGACAATAATATACTGTCCACCTAGATTAAATATATAAAAGCAAACTTTTCTCTCATTTTTACACAGATGGCACAAAAAAGGGTGAAAATGAACCAATTCTAACTGCTGATTCAACAGTGTAGCAGATGCACAAAAGAAAAATACAGCAGCTAAGAATTTTTGCACTCCTGATTATTTAACCATTTAGATCCCTGATAGGGATAGGATGATCTTGCAGTACCACAGGCTCACTGCACATTTATATCACTGCTCTGTGTATTGACTCACAAGAGCAAGCAGTACACACAATTTGATCTTACTCTGCTACCAGGCACATACACATCTAAAGAGTTAAACAAACAGGAGCAACAATAAGGATGGCAGTTCAGCTGATCATGACCCATCAGACTGATAATACTGTGGCTGAAGGTGTTTCTGAGTTTATACCAGCTTCTCTGACAGTGCAGACTCCTAGGCCACATTTATTAGATTTGAAGAAATTGGTTGTCTTTCTGCTTGTGGAAGCTTGTAGTTGTTAAGCTTGATAATGCAATAGCTACAGCATTAACTGTAAAAATGAGTGACTTTGTGCTATTGAATATAAAAGTCAAATTTTGAAATAAAAAAATAAAAGACAGCACAAAGCCAAGAATACAATGTTTAACCTAAACAGGAACTTAACCATCTCCTCGAGCGAGAAAGATTTCAGCAAATCTGAACAGAAAAAGCATGATTCCCACTCACTGTATCTTAGTATGGACTCTGCTCATAAGAACAGCAGAGAGCATTGCAACATGACATGCCTGCAAACCAAAGCTCAGCGGTCTCATGTCAGGGCCATTAACTGTGGTGGCATCTACCTTAAGTTTTCTCTAATTCTAGTACATTTGCAAAAGACCCAGAAAAATGTCATGAGAACTGGATATTCCTAGTCCTGCACCCCCCAAATGATTTCCTCATAATGCAATCAATCAAATCAACAGATTCATAAGACAGGACATGGCAAATTATTACCAAACTGGCTGCTGTTAGACAATATTTGAGGAGGTATGGGATCACTGCAGCATCCAAGTGTCAAGACTTTGACGGGAAGGATGAGAGAGACATTCTTGGAGCAGAAGCTTTTGGAAGCAATCAAACCCCTGTCTACGCAGCTTAGTTCCGGATCACATGACATTTGGAAACAGCACAGCTTCCTTGCCACTATGCGAAGTGACAAGGCACAGCACCACCATCAAGCTGTTTCTCCTCTTACGAAGAGCACAGGATGACAGAGTTGTTGATACGTGACAGTGGATGAGCCAGAATTCCCACCTGAAGCTCCAGGGCCAAAAGTCAGTCCGTGGTGAGATGGGAGGAGGTCATGAAGTACAGTTTCTTTTATGTTTTTTTTAAAAAAACCAAACAGACCCCACAGTTCTGCTATTCAAACACATTTCGTGAGAGTGCACAGGAGCTCATGCAAAAGGAGAAGGCAGGTCTGAAATGCATAAAAAAACTGCAAAGAGATTAACAACGGACCGCAAAGTGACGCGATCCTTTGGAAGGTGGGTGCAGGCAAGGCAACAGGGCGAGCATGCTGGCTGAAACAAAATGAAAACGAGGTCTTGGTGGTCAGGGGAACAGGGCTTCAAACCCAAATGCCTGTGTGTGTGTGTGTGTGTGTGCGCGCGCGCACGCGCGCGTGTGCGTGCACACATGAGGAAACGAGCAGGAAAGCAAGCAAGCATACGTGCATGAGCATCTAGGCTGGCAGGATGTAACAACGTCAATGGGGACAAGTGGAGGGAGCAAGTACCTGCCATGTTTTAAAAAGTGAAATGGCGTGTTAACATTTGTGACTCCTCTGGGGAATCCATCTTCTGATGTGTTAAATTTAGCTGCTGGACTCAAGAGCCCAGCCTGGCTGCTGTAACATGGTTCCTGTAGCTGGCTTTCCATGTGTATGTTCATCCTTTCCTAGCTGTCTGATGAGACTACCTGTAAGAGTGGCACCAAAGGCACTGTGTGAAATGCTGATGGACTGGTGCATACATTCAGAAGGACTGAGGGCCAGGGGAGGGTAGAATACCATCTGGCACATGCCTGGGATTCTCTGGTTACTCTTTGTATCAAAGTGCAGCCAGCAGTTTGTCATCTGGTCAAGGGGCAGGGAGCAGTGGTGAGGAGGGGAAGGCTGAGCATGTTCTACAGAAGGGCAGGGCCCAGCTGGCAGAACAGTGGGGAGAGTCAATAAGTTAGTCTGAGCCACAAGTAGCATGCCATAAAAAAGAGCAAGCGGCTGAGTAATGCTGGGATGGAATTTAGACTTTAGTTTGTCTCAAGTGCTAACTCCAGACCAGACCAGGCGCCTGCTCTCGTGGGTGTGTGTGAACTGCCTGCAGGGTAAACAGACCATTTGTTTCTCCTTCTGTGACAAGCTCGCCCCGAGGTTCCTGCACCAGCACAAACACCTTTAGGAATCTAAAACATAAGAGAGACAAAAAGAAAGACTTGAATTAGACAGAGGTTGGGGAAGGGCTCGCCTAAGAGTGGCACTGCCTGGGGAAGGATGAAAAGGGAAGCTCAGCACCAAGGACATCTACCAGGCTACAACTGCCAGGAGCAGCTCTAACTCAAGGACTGCCTTGGGCCAGAACAACCTTCCTGGTCTCCATGGTCAGCCAGCGTAAAGCATACTTCGAAGTCATTAAGCCCCAGGTCAACCCTGCCTGCCAACCTCCGTCACACTTCACCATGGGCACTGCTCCTTTCTGGGGGCCACGCAAGATGCTAAATTCAACAGTGAGCCCCGCCAGTATGAGTCTACATCATTCACACCAAAGGAAAGGACTGGCTTTTTGTACTGGCAGAGGAGCAGTGGGTGTGCCAATTCACATCGTAGCTCCCAGACACTATGAACAACACTGAAGAATGATGGTGGGCAAAACAAATGCATATATGGAGAAGGCATTTTACAGGAGTTGCAATACATGCATCCAAAGAAAGGTGACCATCTAACAAACAATAAACAGTGAAGACCCTTCATCCTGATGGAAAGTCCAGGAAAGATGCCTGTCCTCCTAGCCTCTGACAATACTGTTCGCTACATGTTTGTACCCATAAGGTTCAGGCCCAACTGTTAGACTCTCTCTAAAGTTTCAGAGGTTTGCTTTTGTCCAAGACAGTTGGGCCCATGAAGAATTTCAGAGCCAAACCCCATACTTGGGAGTGCACTTGGATCTGGAATATTGATCCAAGCCCATCTCTCATGTCCCTAAATAAGGGGGTGGGGTACAAGGGGGAAAGAGGAGAGAGCGGGGTAACATTTTAACAGAAGTGCAGTGACAACAATTTTCTAGAAAGGGCAACACCACATCCTTTCTGGTATGCACATGCTTTTCTGAGTGGGCAGCAGATAAAGGGAAAGTTTATCCCATTTGTTCCGTGTCTGTAAAGTGAATCAACTTATATGAATAATCACTAAAAAAAAACCCCACAAGAATGAGAAAATATAATGTTTATTAGAGGAAGAGTTGGGAATACAGCTAGCTATGAGAAGAGACCCAACAGATGTGCTTTCTTTAAAGAATAAGAATAGGTGAGGAACAAATCACACTGGCCATATTTTACAAACTTTTAACGAAGAATGGAAGTTCTATTAAAGTTCTGGCAGAGGCAGACAGCTGGGAAACAAAAAGTTTTATCAATGTAACAGGGTCATGTCTTGTTCAATGATTATCAAAACAAAAATTCTGTTAGGCAGAAGAACAGCCAATAAAACCATAATATATATAAAAAACAAAAATAAGATCAAAACAATCAAAATTCAAGTCACTTTAGTTTTTAAGTTACACTATATACAAATTATTCTTTTCAGGAGGAGCACTATAGAGATGCATTTAACAAAAGGAATTTAAAAGACTGCCGTAATCCAGTTTATAATTATTGTCTCCTAAATATTTTGGCAAGCGTTAAATAATCACATATCTATCCTAAGATAAAAAAGTGCATCAGCATGGTTAAAAAAAAGAAGTCATCAAGAATCTAGATAATGGTTATGGCAAATAAACAGCAGAGCCACAAAGCTGCTAGAATCACCGGGCTGTCCACAGAGACGTATTTGTATGCAGTGACGGGTAGAGAGCCCACAGAAACAAAGGGACCAAAATGCTAATCTGCCTGTGGCTCTAACATTTGTTCCAAAAAATAAAACCTCACAAACAGGCTCTGTTCATTCCCCAGCACCCGAACGGCCAATATTTCTCCTGGACATGGCATCTTTGTTGGGAGAAGTAGGCAGGAAGTTGGTCTAATAGAAAGAAGGTTATTTTATGTAACTTTTGAATATCAATCTTGATTTCACAGTGGTAATCACTGAAAGACAGTTTTGTTCCTAAGGCGACTACGAGGTAATATAGTCATTTACACATTGCCAGACCAGACTGGACTGAACCCAAAGTCCAACTAGTCCAGAATCCAACAACTGTCAGTACCAGATGCGTAAGAGGAAAGTATAAGAAACCCTGCAGCAGGTTGCTATCGGATAACCTGCTCATAGAAGAATTTTCTTCCTGATCCCCAACAGTCAGAAGCCAGCATAAGCCCTGAAACATGCAGATTAATATCCAACATCTTCAATTCTTAGTTTGCACATGCAAATATCTAGCATTAATGGAAGTTTCAGATGTTCAGCAGCTGAATCAACTGTACCTAACAGAATGTCTCTCATTGACAGGGATGTGGTATGTGCTTTCATCTCTTCTAAAGAAAACCTTCTGAAATGCACCTCTTAAAATAACCATAGCAGCAAATCAGTAGAACAAAAGGTGAACGAGCCTATGCAAACCTACTCAGAGATTTTCTGAAGTGATTTGGGACACATCTGGAAGAAAAGAAAGCAAGACAAGATGAACATGAACTGCTCTTTTTGAGAAAGGGTTTGCTAATACCTTTGTTCGCTGGCGTACCTTTCTAAGCTTACTGAGGGGCCCCTACTCTCATGAGTATTTCCTGTCTGTAATGTGGTCAGAAGAGAGACTGCAACTGGCATGTCCTATTTGGGCCTACCTGAATATAGTTAGAGCAGCAGCAGCACAGAAGCCAGTGCATCATGGGCTTCAGCTACCTGATAAAGTACCCAGCCCCAAGTGAGCTCATACAGCCCGTGCCATAGTGGCCTCATTGCTAAATAGAACTAGCTTGGTATGCCTACATGTCCTGCTAGCATCCCTCTCACTGCAGCTTCAGGGTCATTGAACAAGGCCTTTCCCTGGCATCTGCTCTCCCAGCCGGAGGTGTAATGAATTTATCCAGAGTTTGGCTGAATTCAACCCAATTTTATTTTAACTAATATTTAAAGGAGTGGGTTTTTTTACCCAGTCTCCCTGCATAAAACAGAACATAGTTGTAGATTCTGGCAGCTTATTCAAGTGGAAAGAAGGGCTCAGTCACATTTTCTATTTTAACCTGTCTTCAGTGGCCACTAACCACATGGCTTATCTTATGAACCCAAAGGCAGATCCTTCAAACCCCTCACACTGATGTCTTAAAAGCAATTTTATGAGGGGTTCCACTTTAGATTTTAAGAAACTGAAGGAAACGAGTTCATTAGTATTTTTCTGAATATTGTCGCTCTGGTATATTTTACTTGACTTTTCACTGGCTTGTTACCATATTTCCTGAAATGGCATGTATATGGCTCTTTAAACACAACCCTCAAAAGGGATTAAAAAAAAGAAGGAAGATTAAAACATTAGGGGCAAACAAATGAACAAATGCTGGGACGGAAATGACTGCAGCTGTGTCAACAGCCCACTCATAATGCAGCACACATGATTTGTAAGATGATGCAGCAATCTTGTTATTATCATAATTTCCATAATAACCTCAGTGTATTAAGTGCTTTGCTTGATGCCAAATCTTGTGTTCAGATTGAAAGGTTCCTGCAATATCCTCACAGTCTGCAATGAGCTACAGAAAAGGGGCAGCCTTTATTCTGGATTTTCTTGCTTTTGCTACTATTAGGATTTCTCCCTGCCCTGTCAGACTGGCATGCACTGCTGCATATTCCATCCACTTGGCTGCTGGGCTCATAAGCAATTACCCTGACAAAACGCTCCAAGGACGTGATACCTGACGTACATCCAAGGGCAGAGGAGTCATGCTTGCTGTTTGGAGGCAGGTTTTTAAAAGTGTTTTAGCCCAGTGGGAGCCAACATTTTGGCAGATGTACCAAAAGTTAGCCCCACACCCTCTCTGAGTGCCAAACTGGTCGCTTTCCCCTGCCTGGTTTGCTGCTCTGCTTTCTGCTTCCTGCCCAATCTGCTGCTCTTCCTTCTGCTTCCTGCCTTGTTGCCACTGTGCTGCCAAATCCCTCCCCAGTCTGCTGCATGCCACGCATAAAAGCTGCCCAGGCCATTTGTGGCACCTGTGCCACAGATTGGCCCCCCGTGTTCTAGCCTATTGATTTCTACTGGCCCTTCAGTGCAGTCCCCATGGGGGTCAAAGAAAGGATAATGCATTTTGCAAAACAATAGCGAAGCCTGAGCTTGCAAATGCCATCATCAACGGGGGAGGCCAGACTTGTAGTAAATCTCCACACCAGAGAGCACTAGAATGAGAAAGGATTCTCAGCTCTCTGCATCCGTGTGCAATGTGGGGGCTGCACTGAGAGTCAACTTTCCTACTACTTTACCAGGGAATGAACAGGTACAGGATGCTGCACGTCCTACACTGACTCTTGAAGGAAGGGTTTCAATTCACCCTACCATTGCCAACACTAGCAGAACCCCTCTGGATTAGGTCAAGATAAACCCACAATCCATATTTCATCTCAGGAGGACAAGGCCTGGTATCAGTTAATACTGGATCAAGGCAACGTGAGTGTATTGAGTTGTGTGGTCTTTGTCTGCAGAAAGACCTTCTACCTGTTGCCTACAGTCCAGCCTGAACATTACTGCTTTACAATGGACAGAAAGGCTTGTTTCACAAAGGGGATACACTTAAGCTTTTCAAAGGTATCTTGCAGAATTAAAGATTGAAAAAGCCACTAACAGGGAACTTCAGAAACTTCCTGATCTAAAGCAGTGGCACTCATACAGGGCTGTTACCTCTTTGATGTCTCAGTTATCCTGGCAGCTCCTGGCTACTTGGACAGAGCATCACACCTGTACACTAACCATGATTTTGTATGCACTTTTCCTACTTAGGCAACACGGCTGTCATCAGCTGTAAATAGTGACAAAGAAAACTGAGGAACAAGAGGCATGAATCTGGGCTCAGAAGTACCTCACTGCTTACATGTACATGAGCAGAAGTAGCTACCTGTGTCTCACAGCTAAAATAACATAAAAGTCCAAAAGATGACTTCCTGACTCTCTTCAAATGCCACCACTTCACTGATTTACCAAGGGTGAGAGGGTAACTTCATGGCTCCATGTTGGTTAGATTTACTTTCTCCTACTGTAGAAACTAAAGGGTGGCCCCTGTCTCCATTTAAAAGGGCCTACAGCATAGGTTAGGTTCCAAAAAGCTGCCACATTCAGAGATAAAAAGCACTAATTAGTTTGTGTATACCATTTCACACAGTCAAATCTGAAAGAAATACTTCATTTCCAACTACGGCTGAAATGTAGCTAGGGAATAGCCATTGACTATCTAGTGAAGACACACAGGTGTTAAGAATGGCCTTATCTGACCCATGTTAAATTGGGCTGTGTGTTGGCAGTTAGTCATCTCAGGCTAACAGTCAGGTCTTCCCCCAAATTTTAACAGTTTAACCACTCAGCATCTTCTTATCTGACCAAGCAAAATCAAGTTTTTACAGTACATAACGTCATACAAGTTCATTATGCAAATGTATGAAATAATGCACTTTGTGGCATTGTCCAGTCCTTAAAAAGGCCCCGTCTGCAACACCGAGTCATTTCAGGGAGGAATGTCCCTGTGAAAGCAAGCAAACTAATTAAAACAGTATTAAATGTAAGTCATAGCACCTTTGGCATTTTTGTCCAAATAGACTTCGACATATGACGTGGGGACATAACCCTCCTCATCTTCATTCCTCCGGATTCGGGTCCACCCATCACCTTTGTCTTCCTCTATTACATAGAGCATTTCTCCTTCTGCTACTGAAATTGTTCCTTCATTCTGACCTGAAACACAGAGAACAGCAGTTTAAGTTTCCTACCCAAGGTAGTACACACACACAACCATGGGAACCCAGGGGGAAACTCAGTAAATATATTGAAACAATGTCCTTTAATCACAAGCAGCATGGATTCTGGAGGCTAAGGCATGTATTCAAAGACCTAGATGGGTGCAGCACTGACATCAGATCTGCAGTGGAAAATTCCAGGAAGACAACAGTAACGTATCATGAGCTTGGGTTCTACTGACCATCTTAAGTCAATATTCAGCTTTTACTGTTATGTTGCTGAGATGCAGTTACCAAAGACCAGGGTGTCTGTTTACAATAGGCAGAGTATATTTACAATTCACTGCATGGCAGCAAGGCAAAGATCTATCTGTTCTATGGCTGAGTGCAGTACCTGTGCCTCATATAATCCTGACATAAAAAATATTCCTTATGGGGAAATTTTAAACAGTTCATTTGATACAGATTTTTCCAACCAACTGCATGCTTGCCTGGCAAACAACAGGGAGATGTTCTGGGCCACACTTTGTACCCATTAAAGTCAACAGGAAAGTTCTAATGGATTTGCATGAATGTAGCATCTGGCCCTCAGAGAACAAAGTATATGAAGTGGAAAACAAATCTGGTCTTCTCTCTGCTATTGTACAAGCACACAGGACACAAGAAGTCTGTACTTAATTCCTGCTTTTGCATTCATTCCCCCTGTAACCTTGGGCAAAACATTTTATCTCTCTGTCCTCAGCAAATTTGGAGAGTGGAAATAATGATTCATAGATGTTGGGGCTGGAAGAGCCCTTACAAGATCATTGGGTCCAGCCACTCTGTACTTGAGTTCCTTCCTCTCACTTGTTGCTTGTCTTATCCAATCAAGCTCTTCAGGGAAAGGTCTGTGTGAACTACACCAAGCACAGCGAAGGGGATTTGTTTCATTGTTACTTTTCATTATAAATACAATTGACAAACTTTTTAAAAAATGAATTGCAATTAATTGCAAGATTAAAAAAAAATAGGTATGATTAATTGCAATTTTAATTGCACAGTTAAACAATTGTCAGCACCTGCCCCACCCAACAACCTGGAGCCCACGCACCCTGAGGCTGCTGCACCAAGAGCACACAGTCCCAGCCCTGACCTTGGCCCACCCTGCACCCACTCCGGACTCACCCTGGAACAGCCCTGACCCCAGCCCGCCCCGCCCCATGCCTGCTCCAAACTCACCTGCCCACGCTGAGCAGCAGCAATGACAGCAGCCAGGCAGAAGCTGCTGCTCAGTGTGGAGGAAAAGCAGGTCCTTCCCCTCCCCACTGCTGGGCCCTTCTCACTACAGCTGCCTGGAGCCTGCAGCCAGGCTGCCCTGCAGCTCCTCTTCACTGCCACTGCTGCCCTGCTGCATAGCCCGGAGGCAGCAGTGACAGCAGCGGAGAGGAGCCACAGGAGAGCCCAGGTGCGGGCTCTAGGTGGCTGCAGCAAGTAAGGCCCAGCAGTGGTGACGGAGACGGGTCACTTTACCCTCGTGCAGAGCAGCAGCCTCTGCCCAGCCACTGCCACTGCTCAGTGTGGGCTGGTGAATCTGGAGCAGGTGTAGGGCAGGCCGGGTCACGGCTGTGCACATGGGTTCCAGCTGATCCAGAGCTGGTCCTCTCCACTGGTCAAAACAATGTGCGCGATTAACGTAATTAAAAAGCAAACATGTTAATTTGCTTTTGCCTTAATCACGCAAGTTAACTTCAATTAACTGGCAGCCCTAAAACAAATAACACATCAGCACTAAGTGACATGGATGTGGAGGGTTAGCAGTACCTTCAAATGTATAGAGTGCTTTGCACGTTCCTATGGTAGGAAGTGGTTCTTCATCATCAAACTCATCATCAAAATCTGTAGCCGGCACCTTCATCTCACTCTCCTGACTCTGCTCCTCTGTGTAACTGCCATCAGGGCTGCTCAAGAAAGGAAAATATACAGCAACTATAGCAACCAGTCTCAGGAGCAGTGTGACAAGGAAACACTCAGCTGCAGAACCAGTCAAGACCAAGCATGCAGCTGCAGTATGTGCTGGTATCATTGGCTGCTTCCACAATGTGAAGGGGGAATTCCTGGAAAACATTCATTCTATTTTCTGCTGTGGCAAATTAGAATGATTTTGTATCAAAGTATGGAAATTACTGTTTTCTTAAAGAGCAGCAGCTTGCTGTCTGGCTATGGATTAGCCATGTTGCATGCAGCACTTGAATGTCTGCTGGTACTTGTAATGAAATGAAGGTGTAACAGGAACTAGCACACTGAACAGAACAGCTCTGTACAGATACTGTACCTCTCCCGGTCCTGGGCACAGTTGTTAACGGCCGAGGTATTCTGGGTTTCATACAGTCCGCTCTGTCGTCGGGTCTGCTCGGTCCTCATGGGGAGCCTGCCCTCCACCTCAGCCAGCCAGCCCTGCAAAAAGAAAGCAGCAGGTTTCATGCGTCTCTTGAACACTTCAGATAGCCAAGGGGCATTATGTGGCTCTTTGGTGTTATACTTGATGCTCACATTGCTGTAATAAAGGCAAACAATCATCTACTGTAAAAGCACTTGAACTTCACTTCAAGCTGCTGTCAGCAGGGATGACGGGATACAGATGCTGCATTCTAAGCATATTTTTAAAAATATCAGTGTTGCCAAAAAAATGTACAAGCTGATTGAAAACAGTGTGAGCTGTCCCTACAGGTTCAGAAACAGTAGTTTGCTACAGCTGCACTGAAATGCTGCTAGTCTAGGAACAATGAGGTAAGGAAAAAGGAGCATGGGAATTTCATCAACATTAGAGGGGAAAAAAAATCCATGAATGTCAAATGGGAAAAGGCCGTAGCTGGGAGGAAAGCAAAAGCTCCTAACTTCCAAAGAGATACTGCAAGCAGCAGAGCAGTGGTCTCCCAAGTGGGGTGCGCACACAGCGATCCATTGGGGTGCGGGAAGAAAATATTAGAACTTTTATTTATATTTATTTTTTACCTAAAAAAATAAGAAAGAAATTAAGCTTTACTAATATTTAATATACGGATTGACACTCGGTCCGTATGTCAGACGGTCACGTGTCACGTACGGTATGCGAGGTATCCTGAGGGAAGAGTGGGAGTTCCACAACGCAGAGGTACAGTAGTACAGTGGTCTCCAAACTTTGTACATTGTTACACTGAGTAGTACATGTATATCATTTATAAATAAATAAATATACATATGTTGGGGGTGCGTGCTCAAAAATTTTATACTGATGGGGTGCGCGATCAAAAAAGTTTGGAGGCCACTGCAGTAGAGAACAAAGCAAATATAAAAAGCATCCAAAATAACACTGTAGACGTAAATGGACATAGCCAGAGTGTGGAATGTAATCCTTCCCCAACCCTATAATTCTTCTGGTGTAATTACAATAGCTTGCATTGATAATGGGTTCAATTATTCCATCGAGAGCCTTTGTATCTTTTAAACGCTTTCTGTTAACAGCAGACTGTCCCTTAAAATGTGCTTCATCTCATGGCTTCTATCCAGCTATCAGACATACAGATAGCCCTCTCCATTGATCCTCATTACACTTTCCAAAGCAGTTTCTTTGGACAATAATGTGTTTCAATTGATTTTTTTCCTTCATCCTGCTTTGGATTCTCACAAGGTCTGAATAGGGACTGGGTGGAGAGTGCACTCCTTGGTGCACACCAGTTTAGTAACATCAACAGATATGCTACTGAGAAGATGAAACTTTGGCTGTGAAAGGATGGAAGTGGAATTTGCTTGGTACCTGAGAGGCATTCTGTTGCAAATGGAAGAGTGCAGAGCATTGAAGAGGGTATCCTTCCTTCTGCTACTTATTATCTTCTTTGGTGAAAAATGCAGACCAAGTTTGCTGGCCAACCACACAAATGAAGGAGCCAGACATATTATTGTGAAAAGGCCCCAATTCAGCAAAAATACAAAGTATTGATTAACTTTAAATGCATTCACATTAATGGTAAACAAGTACTTAAGTGCTTACTGAACCAGAACTAATTAATAGGAGCAGCAGTCCTCAAACTGCAGGCCATGACCCAAATGGGGTCGTAACAGCAGATAAGGTCACAACAAACAGGATTCTGGGTTTTCTAGAGTGACAAAAACGCAAGAAAACACAGGTTTCTCCTTGCAGGCTGGCAGAGTTCCAGCCTGCAAAGGGGTGCTTGGAGCTGGGGGGGAGCAGGGGAGGGCAATCGGGGCAGGGGGCACCATACGTAAGCCAAGCAGCTACGTCTGTGAGAGCAGGGGGCACAGCCAACACACTGGAGGAGTGGGGAGGGCACAGGCAATGGAGGGCAGGGGGGCACAGGTCCCCTGAGATTTCTGTGCCTACAGGGAGGCATGGGGCTGCAGCGGGGCCAGACCAGCTCTGGGCAGGAGCTGCCTCTGACCCCATGGGCAAGACCTGGTACAGGAGGGAGCACCGTGCCACCATGGCCACTAAGGTGAGGCACAGTAGCAGCAGCGTGGAGTTGTGCTCCCCACTGCTGCCAGGGAGGCAGGGAGCACCTCAACTCAGTGACCATGGTGGTATGGCGCTCTCTCTTGTGCCGAGTCCCATCTACTGGGCTGCAGAGCCCCTTGGGGGAAGGTAGCAGTGTGGGGAGCCCTGAGCCCGCAGCAGGCAGCCCACATCCTGCCCAGCATCCATCACAAGCTCTGCTCCAGCTGTTCCATCTGCAGCAGGGGGAGGAGAGGGAGAGCCAGGCTCCAGTTGCAGCAGCCACCATCTCCTGCAGGCAGAAGCCAGGGCTCCGGCACCACGGGGGGGGGGGGG